ATATTTTTCTAATATAACAACATTATGCAAAAAAATATAAAAAATAAAATCAATCAACAATTAGATAAATATATCTTAATTTAGGTTGATTATAAGTGTCGTTATAGCAGAGATGTCTAACACATATTTGAGCTTGTACTCTTTTAACAAACAAATATAAGGCCCTGCTCGATTCGACTCGTTGAAAATCGGATCGATTTACTCGTTTAATAAATCTAAAATCTTAAATAGTTTGTTCGTGAATAACTCATTTCGCATAAAAACGAATTTATTCATAAATTTTTAGAAGATTAATGTATACAACATCTTTTTTTATTTATTCTTGTTTATATTAGTAATTATGTTACGTTTATTAATATTTTATTCAAACATAATATTATAACTGCAAGTATATAAAAGTCTCAATAAGTTTTAAAAAGTCTGTTATGAAAGTCTTAAAAAGTCACTAATGAAAATTCTCTAAAAGTCTCAAAGAGTCGACCAAAGTCATGAAAGTTCTACAAAGTCCACAAAAGTCACCAAATTTAAAAAGTTTTAAAAAGTTCTTAAAAATCTCAATTGAATAAACCCTCCTAAGTGACTAATATATCCCTGACTTTTGATTTGTTTCCTTCAATTAGTTATTGAATTATAAATGTATTTTAAAAGTTGATAACTTTTGTATCTCTTATCGGTTTTACATATATAATATATCAAATTAATCATCTTTTTATTATTTTCGATTTGACATCCATATTGTATATATAAAATAAATAAATAATATTTACCTTTATAATAATAATAAATAATATTTATTAAATTTTATTAAAAAAATAAAATTATTTCTCATTTGATATATTTTTGTTTAATGTAGTTATATGTTGTAAGTTAAAAAAATTATTATAATATAACACAAGTAAGTCACACAAATAAAAAGTGTCATACTAAATATATAATAATAATATATATTTTTATAAAAGTTATTTAAATTTTCAACTACATTTTCTCAATAATTTTAGATTTTAAGGAAAAAATTAGCAAACACCCGTGTAATACACGGGCGTTGTACTAGTATAGTATATAATATGTTATATAGTATATACTATATAACATATAGTATATAATATATATAATATAACATATAGTATATAACATATATAATATAACATTTAGTGTTTAATATATAATATATAACATATAGTATATAGTATATACTATATAACATATAGTATATAGTATATAATATGTTATATAGTATATGGTATATAACATTTAGTGTTTAGGGTTTAGGGTTTAGGATTTAGGGTTTAGGGTTTAGGGTTTATATTATATAATAGATGTTATATTATAACATATAATATATAACATATAGTATATAGAATAGAATATGACATATAACATATAGTATATAGTATATAATATGTTATATAGTATATACTATATA